TTGGCTCAGTGTCCTGGATCAGAGCTTTGTTTGTGACTCTGAAATGAAAAGGACGTGGCAGGCAAGGGGCACACATATGCATGGGGGGAATGTAAAAAAGCACACACTTCTTCCCCAAAACCGTATCTAGTGTGCTATAGCTGGCAGGAAGGGGCGTAGATGTGCATCACGAGATGACGCCAGCATGAGAAAGGCAGAGCCAGAATGTGCTGCACCAAGTGGAAGGATCGAGGCAGAGACTCAAAGGCAATCTATATTAAGGCCTCTGAAATTTATCCAGTATTGGGTGGGTTGCAAAGGAAAGTACTTCTCATAGATGAGATGGACAGGGGACAAATACTTTCTCCTCTCAGCCCTGCAGCAGTTAACCAGTCCTCTATACATGTTTGCTAAGTTCAATCAGAATATTCACAGGATAGACCTCCATTTTAGAGGGTCCATCTGGCAGCACTGTGGAGACAACTACTGGTTCAAAGTGATAATAAAACATGGAATCAGGGCCTGGGGAAAAGAGAGGAAGGAATGGACAGTGGAGGGAAAAAGGAGCCCTAATGAGTAGATGAGACAAATTTCACTTATTCAATATGGCTCAGCCTTAACATTAATCAAGATTGAACATGCACCTTTGGCATTCTCATCTCCTACTCTAAACATCAGAAATATTTTATTCAAGTGTAAGTATAAAAATGCATTTCACATGCATGTTTTTTATAGCTATATGTTTTCAAAAAAAAACACCTGCATTCTAAAGTAATAAATAATTTACATATTCACCCATGCCTGTTAGACAGAAGGGATTATGTTTCTTTCAACTTTAGCAAATTAAGATGTTAGCATATATTTTGAAGGCAGTATCTGTTTAAAATGTACAGGAAGGTATTTCCTTCCATTTAAAAATGAGGAATTAACTAAACAGATACAAACTGTGCCCAGAGTGCGTATTAAAACATAACAATACAACGCTCCTGAAACACAGCCGTGCAAAAAAGGGCCCTGGGCAACACTCGAGCAGAACTGGTCCAAAGAAAATGCTTCCCAGTTGAGCCTACCTTCCATTTCATAATAGAAAAAGGCAGAAAGATCAGCCTCCACCACTGCCAGGTCATTGTAATTAAAGTATTTGTACACAGTAACTTTTCCAGTGGGAAAGAAGTTACCTGCAGGACAGTCAAGGATACACTTTGGGACCGCTCTCAATGAAGAAAGCAGAAAAGTGCAGAGTAATCCTACAAATCCATGAACTGTAATGAAGAGTTCCTTGATTCCCTGCAGGATTCTGCAAATCCTTCATTGCAGGCCCTGCAGAGAAATTGTACTTTTCAGCTGTCTCTATTGAATGTATAATGGAGTGATATTTTAATTCAAATCAAAAGATGAGTTATAAAAACTTGGTCAAACCAACTATGCCTAATCATATTAATAAGTTAATTCCTTTATAGGTCAGGTATTGCATGTTTTAAAAATTCCTGTGGCTGAAAATCACTGCTCTATAATAATAAATGTCTTTTAAAAATTCAGACTGGTTCATATATAAGTGGCTCACCTTATAATTTGAAACCTCCTTCCCTGCCCCCAGGATTTTCTAGCATGTGCTGACAAACTTTAGCAAAGCTATATTTTTAAAACATAAGCATTGTATTTTAATAAGTATCAGATATACTTAAAATTAAGCAAACTGTCGGGTGATTTTTCTCTTTAAGCTTAAACTAGAAAATCAAAAACCCTTACCTGTGCGTGTGGTCCCTCCTCCCGGAGGAGCCTTGGCTGCCATGTCATCCCATCTCAGACTTGCCCACAGTAAGCGTAACATGAGGCTCACTCCAGCTAAGGACTTTACAGTCTGGAGTCTATACCTGGAAGAAAAACCCAAGAAGTACCATATAATATGTTCACACACACACTCTCTATTAAACTGAAGGACTACTTCTTGTCCTCATTCAATATTTATAATATGGCTTTTTAAGCACTTTGGCCATTATCTATCCCTTAATAAGAAATGTTTTTGTTCCTAGGTATAACATGCATCTAACGACTTAAAAAGGGTTGGCAGTCACTTCAAATGACATAAATCTGTGCAAAAAGCATGCTTCACTGTACGATAGATACAGCAACAATTTATGAAGATCTTATCAATTTAGCCTAATCTCAAAATAAGTTTTAGAAAATTATGGAGAGCAAATATAGAGAATTAAATTTTGAACTCACAAAATTTTCCAAATAAGACAGAAAATTTTGTGTTCAAGTGGTGACTCTGCAAAACATGAACTCCTGGATGATGAATACTGCTAACACTAATAACACTTTAACATTAGTATAGTTTTGGAATCTTAATATAATGAAGAATAAAAAGGGACAATATTGTATTAGTTACTAATCAGGAGATAATCTGTTGTTTTTTCCTAAAAAAAACACACAAAACACATTTCAAAACAAATTTACAATTGTAATGAATATCATATTTTAAAATGGAATGAACCATAAAACATTTTAAAGCAGGCCTAGGCTGTCAATTATCTATTAGTAATCTTCGAGTAATTAAATACTTTGTTCACATTTCTACACACTAAATGAATACACTGGTTGATTGCAGTGTAGAGAAAACTTACACAATTTAAATAATTTCCTCCTCTGACAGAGGTAGACAGCAAATCTTAGACAGTTTGGAAGGCAATGCTTTCTATTCTTAATGTTAAATTGGAAAAGTGAACGATGTGAGAAAGGGAAAGCTCGAGCCAAAAAGTTGCTACAACTTAATTTCCTATGTCCACCTGTGACACCATGATTTTATTCGTTGTGTTATCACCCTGTGAATCCTCTGACCTGCACAAAAGAATTCTTTAATTAGTGAGCAAATGTTAACTAGCGCAGAGATATCCTAGGAGGGAGGAAGTGTGTGTCACTTTTAGAACACATCCTATAGGAACTCTGGACTCACTATTTGAAAAGAGAAGTGTTTTCTCATGCTCTTTCTCCTTCCTCTAATCCAGTGGTTCTCAACCTTCTGGCCCTTTAAATATAGTTCCTCATGTTGTGACCCAACCATAAAATTATTTTCGTTGCTACTTCATAACTGTAATGTTGCTACTGTTATGAGTCATAATGTAAATATCTGATATGCAGGATGGTCTTAGGCAACCCCTGTGAAAGGGTCGTTCAACCTCCAAAGGGGTCGCAACCCACAGGTTGAGAACCGCTGCTCTAATCACTCTCTACAAACAACTTTAAAGCATCTCTATTTTACAATGGAAATGACATCAGGTGGGGAAAATATCTCATGCATTATCAGTCTGTTCATTCATTTATTCATTCAAAAAAATAAATCTGAGTGCCTTCTATGTGTAAGTGAAAGGAGCTGGGGACACATTATTGAATTATAATCTGTTGATGTGTCCGAGAACCGCTGCTCTAATCACTCTCTACAAACAACTTTCAAGCATCTCTATTTTACAATGGAAATGACATCAGGTGGGGAAAATATCTCATGCATTATCAGTCTGTTCATTCATTTATTCATTCAAAAAAATAAATCTGAGTGCCTTCTATGTGTAAGTGAAAGGAGCTGGGGACACATTATTGAATTATAATCTGTTGATGTGTCCCCAGGAGCTGTAACAA